AGGGGCGGAAGTCAATTTATAAGTGTGAGGGACAGCCTCACCTCTTGAACTAGTTTTTGAGGTTGAGAAGGCCCAAGACCACCCAACAATGACTCAATAGCTAAACATTGAGAGACGGCATGAGTAAGTGTCTTCTCATGTTCTAGAGAGCATTCTTTTGCTTCCCCTATTGAGGGCTTCCCTCAACTGTATCCAAATGGCTATCAAAACTTGTAGACTGCATAGCCATTTTTCAATGTTATAAATCCAAATAATTAAAGCAGGTCGAGGTTTGAATTTTCATTGACAAGTCGCATCTGACTTTCTTACTGCAAGATGAGTTTCCGTGTATCCTTCTCAAGACAGTCTCTTGCATTGATCACATACATGAGATTTCACTTGGAGTAAAGATTGTATGCATTGGAGAGTCATTTTTGCCCGCATTCAACCATTGTAACCTCCTCCTCCTGCCTAATGTATTATCCTATGTTTTGTACACATTCCACCATGCTTTGTTTACCTCATTCAGGCTCCACCTGTAATTGGTTTTAGGGTCTCAGATTTTGATTATCAAACAATCACAATTGTTTAAATAAAATTAATAAAAATCTGATTATGGAAATTTGGGTAGACAGACAGACATAGGCCTGTTTGCTCCAGCTTTTCAGCTAAAATTTGACCGTTTCTTTCCTGTACCTGGGCCCCGCCTGTGAGAGGAATGGTCCATAATGGCTGCTCAACGGTCAAATAATGGATTAAAAGTCAGCTCAAAAGCTGGGGCAGACATGGCCATAATTTTGATGTGATTTTACGTATAGATGGACCTATGTGGGCCTTGCAGAAAGACAAGAAGAAAAATGGGTCAAGTCTGCATACAAGATATATGTAAAGGCTGGACTGGGCTGAATTCTGGCTGGTTCCTTAATGAATACAAAAAATAATACTGAATTCACAAAGAAACGAACTTTGGGTCTTTCGCGAACAAAGTAGAAACCTAAAGAAAGAAACTAGCAATAGTATATCACACTCCACTCCAGAAAAGTTGATATTTATCTCAAACATTCAAGATTTCTCCACACCATTCCTTCACTGCCTATAAATGCACACCAAATTTCTCCATTCTCTTATCAAAACAAAAGTTATTGATTAATCTTTCAGCGTTTTCAAATTTTCTTAAATATGGCAGCTAATACTTTGGCAGCAAACAACATTTTCAGGACACAAAACAAATCTGTTGGTGTCGGGCCATGTTCTGTTTTCTTACCATCAGCATGTAAGGCTATAGGAAGGGCGGTGCCGCCGTCTAGAGTGTCGGTTGTGAGAGCTCAAGCCACCGGCGATAACCAAGATACTTCAGTTGATGTACAGCGTCATTCCAGCAGTAACAAACAGGGCACCGCCGTCGAACGCCGTCCCCGGAGATTGGCCATGGACATCTCTCCTTTTGGTATGTTCTGTGTACCCTTATTCCATTCACAAATTTAAGTTCCTTTTCTTTTAAGTCAAATTCTCAAAATTTATGGAATTTTTTGATAACAGGGCTGCTAGATCCTGTATCTCCAATGAGGACAATGCGACAAATGCTGGATACAATGGACAGACTATTCGACGATGCCCTGTCGATAAACGGGGAAATACGAACCCCATGGGACATCAAAGAAGACGAACATGAGATCAAGATGCGATTCGACATGCCAGGGATATCGAAAGAAGATCTCAAAGTCTCAGTAGAGGATGATATACTTGTTATCAGAGGTGAACACAAGAAGGAAGAAAAAGATGACGACTGGTCGAGGAGGAACTACAGCTCGTACGATACTCGACTAGAGCTTCCTGATAACTGTGTCAAGGATCAAGTGAAGGCAGAATTGAAGAATGGAGTTCTTTATGTATATATTCCTAAGGCTAAAGCAGAGAGGAAAGTGATCGATGTAGAAATCAAGTGAAGTTCTTGTAAGGGAAATATGGTGTGATTGTTTTTTGGGGATGTTTAGGATGTTTTTGTAAGGCTTTGTTCAACACTACTCGTGTGTCAGTACAAGTTTGCATAGTTTGACTTTCATATTGTTTTCTCTTTCTTTTATTTAGCTTTTGTTCAATTAAGTTAGAGATGCGAGATCGAGGCAGTACGGGTTAGCTTTCCGTTAGTTCATTGCATAAAATTCACTACGTTGTAAAAATATTGAGTCTTGTCACGGTGCCTAAATGATTTAGAGTGGATGCCATTCACCACCAAGGTATTTCGAGACGCAGACTATATATGGTACTTTATCGTCCCTAAACGAAATGATAGATTATCAATCTTGAGAAATTAGATGGGAGAAAAAGGGCCAGAGAGAGTGCTATTCAAGGTATGAAAAGATCGAATAGCACAATTTTTCTTAAGAGTGTGGAGATTAAAAAAAAAAGGGCAAAATGAGACAAGGTTGAAGAGAACGGCAATTTTTGTTGTTTCCGTTGCATCTTCATCTACTCTCTTTTACCTTTGCATACAAGGCAAATAGGTTTGCTATTCAACTTGCCTCCAGAGAGGATGGGATAAGGTTAGCCTTGTTTCAGCTAGTCAAGAGGTTCAATGGGGGTATGAACCACCTTTGGCGAGCCTTTCCTCGTTGACGAGGTAGGTTCAAAGCCTCGTATTACTAATTTCAGCGAGGCACCCCAATGTTCACAAAATTTTGTTTGGGCTATCCATGATGACATGGCCAATATGACCCGTGGCTTCTGAGTCTAACGTGGTTCAACATTAGATGGGGTAGTAACGATAATTCTTCAAGTTACCATTTTGTTGGTCGGAGGTCAAAAGAATTTTAGTGAACAATATAATTATAATTCATTGAGTGCACAATCATAAAAGAAGAAAAAAGATTTAATGTTGTCCATTGTCGCGTCTAGAAATGCTTGCACGTGCTTATAATTTTCGTCGATTGCAGGGAAGTTTAAGTTGGTGATTAAAGGACACATCACACTGTAATTGATCGGTAATAAACAACGTTAGTAAACAAAATCATACCAACATATTATCTGTATCATTATATTTAATGACACCAAACTGATTCTAATTTAATTTGCAGGAAAAGAAAATGCATTCGAAATTCAGAATCAGTTTAATGTCATTGCAATTCCTTTTCCTATCACAACTCATTTTCTTCAGGAATGGATTTAAGAACAGGCTTCCAACTTGTCTGAGAATCAACTGAATTACATGATCTATATACTCCTAGGACTTCTTCAACTGATATTCTCTTTGATAATAACGCCTGAAGCTGCTGCTTCGTAATGACCACCTTAATCCTCTTGACTGCAGTAGGTTGTTCAGCCCCGACTGATGGTGGCGCAAAGGCAGCAAGCGGAGTTGGATTCGACTGAGGAGTTCCGGTGCTATCCCATCTGTCTACCCTGAAAATTTTCTTGTTTCTGCCTCTGCCTAATCTGATACATGAACTTATATCGAGCCCACAAAGAGAGAGAGGATTTCCCATATATTCTTGTGCTTGGAAAACGATAACAAAATTCAAAGGCGACTCAAGAAATTGGGGGTAGGAAACCAAAAAAAAAAAAAAGAAAGAAAACTATGGATGTTCAGCCTTAAGCACCAGCTTCACCCTTTAGAATTGAAACTAACTCGGAAGAGATGTGACTTGTGAGAGATTTGTGCACGCAAGTAGGAGTTTTCTTGGATGCAAGGACGAAATACCAAATATGTACGAGAAAAATTGAGTAAAGATAGTTGATTTTATGTTGATGAAAAAGGCACAATGTTTTTCTATGATAAGCCAATGAGGATTTGAAACTTCAACGAAATAAAGTAGCCATGTTAGCTCTAACTTAAAAACTCGCTAAAAATCCAAGTTAAAGTCGACAGTTACTTATTTTCATAGAATCCGTAACTTTTATCGACTTTTTAACCATAAATTTCATCAACAACATCAAAATTTATGAAAAACCCAATTCTTATTATCGTGTTCGACTGTCCTGCCTTTATAAATCATCTATTTTCAGTTTTTTATGTTATTTTTTGATACTATCTTTGTGTTTCTGGTGAGTGCCATAGTAGTTATAAACAAACTTTAACCTGTCTATCGTTATAATATATTATATTTCACCTTCTTTCAAGAAAAGGAGGGAAATGGTGGATACTAGTTTTTCGTCAAGGTTGCACAGAGCTCTTGCTTTTAAGGGTGGAGATGAGATGCCCACAGGAGCTAGGAGCAGAATATTTTAGGTTCTTTTTTTATTCGTATAACTTAGATGTCTTGTATCTTTACAAACAATCATTCAATTAATGGAATTGTATACAAGATCATCGAGATCAATATTTAAGTATTTCTTAGCTTGTTCAACTCGAGTTGTGTCACGTTTCTTTATCGATTTCAATGGTAACTATTAGAGCGGTAATCCAATATCCAAAAAACAAGAAAAAAAAATGAATTTTCGTCATGTACAGAAAACAGATACTCACATGGGGTGGGCCCCATGTGAGTAAAATATTTTAAGAAAAATAATAAATAAACCACCCACCTCTTATTGTGTCTATTCTTGTGCATTTATGTGGCTGCATTTTCGGTACATGTAGTGCAGTTATTCAATAGACGTAATTATGGTTTAGGTGTATAGTCAGTTGGCAAATTGGAATATTCTAGGTTTGTGTTCTTTATTCCAGTACTAATAATATGACCCTGTTGGGTGAAAATTAAAATTTATATTTTAATCTAAATTGAAATTAACAATTAATTTTAATCATATATTTTCTGTGATCCATAGTTTTTTCACCATACATTTCATCGACTTTTTACCAAAATCTACTAAAAATATGATTTTTATAAATGATACGGGTTTAGTTTGTGGTGGGTGTTGTTGGGGTCTTCCACTTAGGAAGAATGTCATTATCAGGTGGAGGACGAAAGGAAACATTGGTGTGACTTTGTAGGCGACAAAGATCTTGCATTCTCCAACAAAACTACTACTCCACTTTGTAATTCTTTGGAAAAAGAGACTGGCAACCAATTTTAGAAAATGAATAGCTAAATCTTGTGTTCTTACGAATTCTCGTATTGCTTCTTGTTACTACGAAAATTGGTTTTGCATTTTTTCAATTAACGCAAAATCCCTCCTTTACTCGCTCAATTTGAAGTTACTATCAGCTTACCAAAATATTCAAGAAACAGTAAAATCAGAGGACATTTAGCACATAAAGATCAAATCACAAAAAACATCCTAAATGAAAATAAAATAATTCTGCATATGAAGAAGACTATTCTCTTTATCCTCTCCCACTTCCCACATCATTTAGCACGTTTGAAACACCACAAATGAATAGAAGAAAATAATTGATTATCCACCAGTAGGGACTTAAAGAAATTTGCAAAATAGATCTTTCTTTCGAGTCAGAAACGCGAAATTGTATTAGTACATCGAGGCACTGCCTATGGAATTCAACATAAATTAAGTCAACTTAAGCCTCAAAACCAGGACAACTCTACAAGTTAAACGAACAGCCATAAATATAATCTGCAAGTGACAGACTCGACCGAGATGCGACGCAAAAAATCCCAAAAACATAAATGCCACAAAGTACCTTAAAAGTATCGGTAACTATGTATATATAGATATGTAGGTTTATATATATATATCAGCAGATCAGCTCAGAGAAAATTCGTTAACAGTTCAGTCCAAGAATTGCCGAGGTGCACGAGGTCGAACAGGAGTCTTTGATGGGCTTACCCTGCAAAAGTGCAAATATCAAAGATATTAGGTCGATCCATGGTCAAGAGGAAAAGTAAGCAGTATAATTGGGCATCCATTTTCTGTAATAAGCCACCCTAGTTTCCTCACTATATAAAGAAATCTAAGGGGGCATCTTCTCTGTGAGAGAGAGATTTATGGACTGAGATAGGTGTAAGATCTCCAACGTAAACTTCTCAATTTTAGTGTAATGAGCTTCTTTCTATTTTGATCATATTGCTCTCAAGATTGGATTTTCCGCACCAATGCAAGGGTATAGAGGAAACCAACCTTATTGGGAGCGATCCTAGGACTACACCGCTGCAGTTCAGAGCTGCAATTGCACTCTCAGCCTGCCAAAGAAAAAATATTATAGTTGAAATATAAATCCAAACACATACAAAGCATAAATGAACATTTTTTGTAGTATATAATGGTTTTCAAAGAAATATTGATTTGCGTCAAATCCAAAAGAATTGAAGAAAATAGTGATGATTTTCTTTGTAATGTCTTTCCCAACTTTTCAATAAAAGGGCCGGATGAGAGTCGTCATTTTATGATGTAAATGACACAGGTATGAAAACTCAAGGTTACCGATGACAAGGCAAAGTTTTACTTATCATATATAAGATCTGAAACTTGTATAATGAATCGAAATGTTCATCCAAAAATGTAACAAGAAACATATTCATTCACCATGAATTGGAATCACAATAGAAATTACTATTATCAGTCAACTCCGAGAATGAACTTAACCCAGATTTGAAGAAGTTCAGAAAGATCTGAACTAGGTAAGAGATGAAAATAATGAGAACTGAAAAAGGTATAAACAAACAATTAAGTGCATTACTATCAACTTTTCAAAATCAAACAATTGGTTGATGGTAAATCTACTAAGTAAAAGAGGTTTTCTATCGGGTGATAAAAAATATTATTATCTGGCTTATACACATTATTTTTAATTCATGCAAGGAGGAGGGAACTCTAGATTAACATAAACAAAAGGAAGAAGATTACATCAACTACTGTGATGAGAGAATATGAAGTGACGGTTGAACACCAAAAGAAAATGATAAAATTCTCGAATGGAAGTAAGGGGGTCTGCTTTAGCGGTTCAAGTCTCCATGTTTACATAAAATACACTTTCTAGATCCATGTTTACAAAAACAATATTTACAGAAAGTTAACCTAGCTGAACCATTAGATTTAGCAGCACCTTGAACTAGTCTTGATCCATGTTCACAGTTCGAAATGCGAGATGTCCCCAAGAAAATTAAGACAACAGTGGATCCAACCAACATAAACCAAGATATCAGGAAGTCAAGGTCCAAATCATCCCCTTTCAGCCTACTCACTGTATTCCACTCACTTTTCCTCTCAATTCACTTAGTTTCTACAAATTGGAAAGAGTGTTTCGCTCAGACGTAAGAATATACATCATGAATCACTATAGCCACAAATAAGTTTCTTATTTATTTCCAAATATCGACTAGAATTGATACAAACTTTCTCTAGTGCACTTCTTCAACTCTATGCGAGAAAATCTTGTAAATTGAAGGCAGTTAATGATTGAAACAAATGTAGTACATGGTTAGGGGAAAAGTTAAGATAAACTAATATATTTGATACTTATCCAGTTATCCTTGTCAAGAAAATTGAGCACATATCTTAGTATCGAAGTTCTAAGTGAGTAATGCAAATCAAGAAAAGCAGTCTAATATTCTGATCTAAACTTGTTTGTAAGGCTGTAATGGTACTTCAATGGACAACGTACTCTATCGTGAAGACTCCAGTTCCTAGCTTCACTTTAATACCACAAGTTCAAACTATGATAGAACTTATAGTGAAAGCAACCGTATCAGCAATATACAAATTCATTATAGACATGAATCTTAAAGCTAACTATGCCCCCACGATCTTTCTTTTCCCAGGTGTTCAAAATGTTCGGATCAATTTACTCACACCATCTACTTAATTTATAAACATTTTCCCATAGGTACTATCTTAATAAGGAGAAGTATCTTTGTGATTCATCTGTCTACCTAAACACTGGGATGTTTATCCCTTCCCGCAAAGTATATATGTGCATTTTAAAAGAATAAATCATGCATAACTATTAATTAACTGTAACCTCTTCGTTACACATCCACACTCACAGAAAACATGTAGGTTTACAAGTCATTTCTTTAATTTGATTTTAGAAAGGAAGAATTAATTAATGGAAAAGGAGTAACACACAAAGATAAGAGGACCGAATGCCCTCGAGAAAGATAATTGAAACTCAAATATCAGACAAATAATCCAAATCAGTCAAAGCTTTGGAACGATACTGCAGCCTAGATAAATGAAACGGAGAGGATATTCAAATTTTAAGGTTTTAGAACGTGTATTATCTGACGATTCTCACCCATAGCTGAAATTTAACACTTCCTGTGTGTCACAAGCAGAACCATACAGAGAGAGATTTCTCAATCACAAAGATAAGTAATGATGCTGAGATGTGTTAGGGCACCGAATAATAGGAACGTTTATTTGCATAAAGACAAGACTACTGTCAGGTGTTTTAAAAAAGTAACTGATAACTGAAAGGTTGACTTTACAGTAAATGTCACAGACAAAAACATTTATGTATGTCGAGTGTATTTAAGAAAAGGATCCAGTGACGACAGGGAGAAAATACAACTGAATTTTTTTTCCTTCTACTGTTGGCCAATGGACTAGCAAAAAGTTAAAACATAACGAGCCAAAAGTTCTTTCCTAGAAACAAATTGGTATAAAACATAAACCCTCATTTCCAATGACTTTTATTGGCGAGGAAGGACTGCTTCAATTAAACAATATACGGTTGAGCAAATTATGAAAGAAAATAAGATTTGAGGGAAAAAGAAGAAATTGGGTTCAGAGAGGAGCTGAAGATGACAAATAGAAGCAAGAACCAACCAGAAAGATGGATATATGGTGGTAGTGCATATAATAGAAAGTTGAGAGCCGATGTGAGCGGTTGACTTTTGACGAGTATCAAGAATAGAAGGACAAATAAATGAAATTATATGTCTTTTACCATTTGCCTAAGTAAAAAAAATTTGGGTAAATATAATCGGTATTAGATTTGGGGTCTTAGCCCCTTGTTTGGTGGCCAATTTTTGGGGAAAACGTTGTTTTAAATAGTTATTTTTTGGAGAATGTGTGGTTAAAAAGTAGGAAATAGTTTTGGATTGAAGTGTAGAATATTTTATTGTGTGAATTTGAGGTTGAAAATGAATATGTAGAAAAAAGAGTTTTGAAAGAATGGGAAACAAACAAGGGCTAAATAAGCATATTAGATTATAAGTATCGTACATAAATCCCCAAAAAAATAAAAAAAACTGTTTCTATCTATAGAGAGCCAGAAAGGAAATAGCATTAGCTTGAGAGATTCAGATCAGCACCAGAAACCTATTTGCAAATATAATAGAATGATAAGCATCCATAAACAATTTCTGATTGGAACATGCATATCCGTGGAGCCATAAATTGGCAACATGATTCATCAATAACTTCTATAATCAAAGCAAAAATTAAAATTTTAACCATTATTCAAAAGGCTGATAGCTGAATCAAATTTAATTGGCAAAAGAACCTAGGGAGAATTTACTCAAAATTGTGCCAGGGAGAAGTAACTATTTTGAGTTGAAATCATTGTGAAGAACATTTTCCTCAGAAAATGATGGAGAAGCTTAGGGTACTTACCATTACGAACTCCACAAAAGCTATACGGGTTGAATGATTATAATCACCAAGCAACCTCAAGCGCAGAACCTGTGGGAGATAACATATTCCTTAAAATGTAGTTAGGATTCAAAGGAATTATTATTTAAATTGTTACACAGGCAACTACATACCTCTCCACAAATGGATTCAAAAAAGAGTTTGACATCAGCTTGAGTAACCTGCGTCAAACACGTGTTACACGATGACCATGTGGCCCAATAAATGATTGTTACCAAAAAAATAGATTTCAAATCGCAAAACTACCTTTTTGTCAACGTTTGTACAGTAAATAGTTCTTGCACACATCTCCCTTTCATCTTCAGACTAAAATCACAGCAAAGAAAACGAATGTTCGTATCATCTTAGTCTTTGAAACAATTCAAATTTCAATAACACGTGACAATTGACATAAGAAAATAAAGATGGAAACGACTAATGAATTATTCACCCGTGGCAAGAACGTAGGGTTAACAGGTGCAATCGCAGTTTTTGAAGGCAGCACTCTAACTGGATAATATCCAAGCATAGTTCCTGCCAAGCTCAAAGCATTCCTTGCACCTTCTGCAATGGGAAACAATGCAATGTAATTAACCCAAAAGTTTTCCAAAATACACAACCAAACCACCACCTTGAATGACATACCCTCATCAGTGAATTCAATGAAGGCAAAACGAAGTACAGAGTTAGGGTCACCACAAACACGACAATCAACAACCTTTGGCACCAACAATGTGGATAAGATGTTAGAACATAATGTTAAGTCAGCATAAATATAGTTTCTACGCAGGATGTGGAAAGATGTTGTACCTGTCCGCAACCAATGAAGAGCGCTGCGAGTTGCTCTTCAGTAACCTACATTCATAATAACCATTACTAAAATAAACCAAAAGTACCTAAAATAACATAATCCACCAACTCTAAAGTTTCTTTACCTGATGATCAATATCAGATACATACACAGTCCTCCTAATAACCTCTTCTCTCTGTGCCATACTTGTTCGACTATTTATCCTCCGCTTCCCATGACCATAGCCATTGTTCTTCTGTACATTGCATTAAACACCAAAACCATCAATAAAATCAAACATCTTCCTTTAGTCAAACACCCATCTTTATTCCTTGTTTGATTCCTATTTTTTTCCAAAATACATTTTTCTCTCTTCTTTTCCCTACATATTCTTCGATAAAATAATATTACACGCAAATCCAAATTTTTTCCTCATTTTTTAACCAAGTATTCTCCATCAATCTACTATTCCAAAACACATTCTTAACCTTTGGGGCTCAAACAGGCTCGCAATATAAGCTCAACTAAGATTGTACAAAATTTACTGTCACCATGTTTCATTCTACGAAATGAAGAAGGGAAATAAAATTGATTAATCCATTAATTTCTTTCATTGTCCTTGTAAACCAAACAGACATTACTAAGACGCCAAAATAACAACAGAATAAAACAAGAAGGATATCAGATAGAAAACCAACCCTCCTAGTAGAATTTCCATTTGGAACTCCAGAGTTGACATGCTGCTGAATTAAAAACAAATTAGCATTATAACCGTATTGCCCTGCGGCTTGTGCCGGCGGTATCACCAGTCTATGGTACGCCGCCCCAACAGACGGTGGCACAAATTCCTGGGCCATCGGGTTCAATTTTGACAGCATTTCCTCCAAATCCCTCATCTCTCTTTTAAACCCCTCACCGCCATCATCTTCACCATTCATTTTCTGATGACCCTGGTTATTACTGCCAGTAATATTAGCCTTTGACACTCCATTTCCATTGATACTGTACGGCTGATCGTTGGATTGTGAAGAAGATATTTTCTGAACCATCAGATGGAGATTTTGGTCGGACGTTTTCTTTGACTTCTGATTAACGGAAGCCTTCGTTGACTGCTGGTGTTGATGGTAATGATGAAGATGATCAATAGAGGCGTCTTCTTGCGGCGCGTCCGGGTCGGCCCGATTGTCCACGTTAGCATCCGCATTTTCCACCACCGCCATGATCAAATGCTCTCGCAAGTCGTATTCAAACTCCCCGGGAAAAAAAAAAAATCCTTTCTCTTTAACTTCTTTTTGGGTCACTGAAAATGGAAGAAAATACACTTATCGATCAAAGGGGGGAATTTTATGTATTTTCAAATGAATAAAAACCAGATATTTACCTGATGGACGAGTCTAGACTCTAAAGGGTGTCCATTAAAGGAAAGAAAATACACTAATCGATCAAAGGGGGGAATTTTATGTTATTCAATGAATAAAAACCAGATATTTACCTGATGGGTGAGTCTATACTCTAAAGGGTGTCCATTAAAGGATCGTGAGCTGAGAAAATCAAGAAAAGGGGGAGGGAAGCAAAAACAGAGCAGAACTTCTCTCTTTATTTAACAATATTTTACTGAGAACCAGAAAAAGAAGATATGTAGAGATAGAAAGAGAGATTGTTGTATTACACTGGCAGTAATACTATTATAGAGAGAGAGATGAGATTGTTGGGAGAGAGAAATAGTATATTGGGCTCTTCGGAAGTTCGGATTGTCAGTTTAGAGAGAGAAAGGTGCACGCTTTTTCTTGTGCTATAAAATAATCCTTTTTTCATGTCAATTAGGCATTTCGTCTATTTCAATTTTTTTAAAACAAAAATAAAAGCATGGATTGAAATTTATGTTAATGTATTTAATTCATCATCCAAATTACCATAAATGCTTATTCTTCCACAAATTTTTACTTTTTAGCGAGTTTTCGCAACTTCAGACAACGAGATATAAAGCAACAATTTTATTACTATCGAATATCGTGAATTTGTTACGAGTGAATGATATGTTTAGTCTGTTTGTTTGCCATTTACTTCTCATTTCTAGAATAAATCTTACCGTTGCAATCTGAAGAAGCGACATTTTTTGACCAAAATGTGTTTCTAGTCGGTTGAAAATAACGGTCAACAATTTCATTTTTGGCTAAAAAAAATAGCAAACAAACGGGGGATTAGAGTGAAGCAATAAAAATGTAAGTTTGAGCAAATAATCAATCGTTTTATAGAGAGAGGAAATTTGGGTTCTTCGGATGGTCCGTTTAGGCTATCTTAGCATTGTTCACAACGCCCCAAAAGATAGACGAAAATAGAGGGGGGATGGCATTTACTCAGTAGCCCATTTTTCATTCATTGTTTTTGGCTTTTTTGCATAGATTTCTGCGAGTAATAATTATAATGTCGTAGGAAATCATGATTACATCATTGCGTGTCATTGATGATGGCATGGATGGTGGTAGCATTGACATGGTAAATAATGAGGAAATTAAATTTTTAATGACTTTTAATAAAAATAGAAGAAATGTGTGATTAAATAATTTTTAAAATTTAAATTCTCATTCTTCTACTTATTTTCAATAACACATTTTTCAATAAAATAATATTTTCCATCACATTAATATTTTTTTTCTTCTTTTCAATCACACATTCTCCATCAATCTACCATTCCAAAATACATTCTTCCAAAATAATGTGGTTCAAACACATCATTAGTATTATCATAGTCATCCAATTTTATTTTATTTCACCGCGGTTATTCAATTTCATATAACGTTTCACCGGCCACATATAACATTTTATCATGGTTACTCAATTTCTATTCACTATTTTCCCTAATTTTAAAAGGGTAAAACGGTAACTTTGTTAAAAAAATAACAAAATAAAAGTTTTTTAAATTTTAAATAAGTTTTTTGTTAAATAAGTTTTTATGTTATTTTATTTTTTTAAGTAACATTTTTTAAAATAAGTTTTTATTTTATTTTTTGAAGAAACATTTTTTTAAATAAGTTTTTTAAAATTTGTTTTATATATATAATGCAAAGTTACTATTTTACCCCTTTTTAAAATTAATGAAAATTGTGAAATTAAATTGGATAGCCACGATGAAATGTCATATGAAATTGGGTGACTGTGGTGAAACGTCATAAAATTGGATGGTCATTGTAAAATAAAATTAAATTGGGTGACTGTGATGTTACCATGTATAAAGTTGGATGGCCACTGGTTGACTTAACCCTAAAAATTGATTTACCTATGTTTGAGTCACATTTACAAAATATATATAATACTCAAATTGTATTTTATTTATATATTTTGAAGAATTTAAAAAGTATTATTCACTCATCAATAACTCGTTTTTATTTATGTATATTTGAAATTGTTATCAATATTTCCAATACATGCTCAAATTCATCACTTCATAAAATGAGTGCTCGAGTATATAGTAACCAAATTTCAAACATACGAGAGCTATGTATGTTAACTTCGTACATGTTGGCTCTACAAATCATATGACGTATGTATTGTGCAACACATAATTGGTGGAGTAATGTTACGTAGATTCACTAGGATTGTAATTCTAGTTGATTGCAAATATGAAAAATTGGTGGAAATAAAATGAATTTTGGGGAATTAAATTAACTAGAATTTATTTTATTGGAAATTGTAATTAATTGTGTTTGATTGGTATAATTTTACACATGGTTCGTTTGATTTTGATTTTCATGAAAATTGTCAATTAAATAGAAAAAATTTATTAGAATATGTTTTGATTGCCAAAAAGTTAAAATAAAATCGAATATTTTTTGTGTTTGTTTGGTTTTGTTTTTCATACAAATTGTCAATTAAATGAATAAATTTTTTTACAATTGGGTTTCGAATTTATTCTAATTGCTAAAAAAAGAAGATGGAAAAAAGATTTTCACCTAAATCAAAAGGAAAGCAAAATCCTTAAAAATCAGGAAAGTGGACGCGTGAGGGTAACCAAAGAAAAATGAATTCCTGACAAATTATTGGCTATCAAACAGTCAACTTTTGATAAAATGGAAAAAAAAATTCTAGTTTCATGAAAAATGAGGGTAATCAAACAAGGCTTAAATGAAAGGTGGAATTAAGAGATTTATATAATTTTATCTATTGTTGTTGTGTTTTTTCCACGTGGCAGTGAAATCACGCGAGGAGCCACGCGTAAGAGACTGCTAGGTGATAACAGTTTACTCTTTATCCGCTGACACTTCTGTTTCATATTTTTATCCTTGAGAGGCGTGTCATTTCATACTAATGCTACAGGCCACTAAAAATAAAGAACCGTGCGCTCTTGGTTTTTGAAATTGTTCAAAATCGCTGGCATCGTCATCCACGTGTCAGTTTATTTCTTGTTACGTGCTACGTCGGGTGAGGAAACAAAGTTCTGCCCGCTCAAGTAATTGCCCTGCGTGGTCATGCCTTCATTAATATACGTACCCTCCGTATCCTAAATTTATGAAGGAAATATTGAGTTTACCAAATACGAGAATAATGAATGAGTAATAATTATAAATATATTGTTAAAATTAATATTTCATTTTTATTGAATTTACAAAATAGAAGCAACGAATGTGAAATTTCACAAACAATTTTAAGAAGGTTTAGCAATTCATATCTTGAATTGCACGTCCATTGATGGACTTCGATGACAATTTTTAGGGAATTTTTATGTCCTGTTTGGCCATATTATTCTTCATTAAATTATAATTTATTTTTTTCTCTATTTGATCAACACCACATTTTTCAATAAAATAATATACACGTAAATTCAAAAACTTTTCTTTATTTTTTAACCTCACATTCTATATAGGGATATCAATCTTGAGAATTATAAACCCTAATTTTATCACCAAAAGCAATAAAATCGCATAAAGAAATTAGACCCAAGAATTTATAAGATTCATGGAGACTCGATTCAATATGAGGTTATATCATCTTTTGTCGTTATAATAATTCACAAGAGAAAATAGCACAACTTAACGATAAAAACCGTTTTAGTGACTTTTATGAGGTCGCTACTCAAGATCGGACGAGGAACAAAACGTTTTGTCCCGCGATATGACAACAAAGTTTAATAATCAATAATCACAAGCAATAAACATATACCTTAATTTGCATCGTACTACTCGATCAAATCGTACAATAAATTTGTCTACAACCTTAGTATTTTAGATTTACTCAATTGTTTTCAAATAAACTTTTGTTGTTACTAACTTACGTATTAAACTGATAATAAATAATACGACTTTCTTCACGGAAAGAAACTCCCCAACCTTAGAAGTTTGACATTTTTTATGCTCGTTTTATCTCTTTCTTTTTTGATTGGGAAAAAAAAAGTTTATGCTTATCTTCTCAAAAAAGCACTTTAAATAATAATTTTTAAAATTAATACGAGAGCATGCAATTAATTATCCAATTATTGTTTTGTGAGCAAATGGTCTTTCTAAAGGTGGGGTAGTACTTTATTTTGAAGAGTTAAATCCAAGTTTTTTTTTTTTTTAAATAGAGAGTGGGTTTAAACTTGTT